AATGGATTGACGAAGTAAGGCTGCATCTCTGTGATTCCAGACATGGAGCAAATAGAAATGCAGAATGCTTAGTCAAGCTCACACATTTTGTATGTGATCCCTCATGCTACAGGTTGTCTGTCCTGGCCAACAAATCTGAGATCATGAGTTTTTTTTTTCTTTTTCTGGCTGCCTCCAGCAGGAAGAGCAGTCTCCTCAGTCTCTTCCTGTGTACTCCATATTCTGCGTCTAGGAGAGAACCTTTCAGGAACCAGTCTTCCATGTTACTCCTTTAAACTATGCTCTCAGAGGTTCTGACTATGTGTCATTTATCTTCGTGCCCAGAAGTCCAAAAAAGATGCCTGGCACATGAAAAGGGCTTCATGAATACTTGTCAAGTGGGTTTATAAGTTCATGAACTACTAAATAAAACACCCAGCTCTCTCAAATACCTTGGGCCTTTGGATTCCTGATACTAGCCCCTAATGTCCTTTTCTCTTTCTACTGGGTATTGAACCAAGAGCCATGTATATGTGAGGCAGGCACACTACCACCGAGCTGAACCCCCACCTTTGGGTTTTGAGATAAGTCTCACTGTGTATCCCAGACTGGCCTCAAAGTGGAACTGTCTGCCTCAGCTTTTCTGAGTGCTGGAATTACAGGTATGTACCACCACACTTAGCTTCATTCCTTTTTTGATCATATCTTAGGGACTTAACATGTCTCTCCTCCTCCATCTATGCCCAAACCCCGAAGCCAAAGACTTCCAATGACTGTATTTCGCCCTTTCTGTAACAGAAAGGTGCCAGTTACGAGGTGCTTGCTGTGTGTTGGCCCAGCCAGAGCGCCATAGATAAGATGTGGGAAAGGAGCTTACACAACACTGTGTGAAAGGTGCTGTTCCAAGAATCTTTCATAACAGTCCAGTGGTGGAGTTGTGCATGTGCTCTGATTTAATCCTCTGGGAGATTCTCAGTCTTAAGGTCATGCCCTACTTCTGCAAGACTAAGATCATGTCTGTGGTCTAACTCTTAAGCAAGGAAGACACTGTTTGACATACATTACTTTAATAGCAGCCACTGCCATAAGGAAGCTGAGGCTTATTATCAGGAGCTCTGACTGCTGTTCCCTAGGTCTGTGCCACTGGAAAAGTTCCTTACACTCTGGGCCTCAGATAACAAATAGAATATGTCTCGCATCCCGGCAGCAAAGAAGTGATAAGATGCCCTTACACTGCTGTTATGAAGAGATGTTGAGTTGTCATCAAAGAATGGGTTCAAAAATTCCACTGGGCAGATCTTCAGCGGTTAGGTCGATTGATAGGTATCTGTGTTCTAGGGTTTCTCAATCCCTGGGTTTGAGAGATGCTTATTCCAGGGCTGGACGTTATTATATAAGAATGTGACGTTACATTTTTCACCCAAGTCAAGGCTGTGTGGTGCCGTGAGTGCCAGCAGCCTCCTGAGATGTCTGCATTGCCATTCTGCTCTTCTGCTCTGCTCTGCATTCGCGCATGGTCTCCTGCCAACATTTTCTTAAGAACCCACTCCCAAATCCTCTCTGCGTTATGTTCCTTAGAGCACTGTTTTGCATAAGAGTCTATTTCTTGGAAAAGCTCAATAAGAGAAAAATAGAACAAAGGGGGCTCTGGCAGTTTAAGCACAAGCTATCTGAGCGAAATTGGCAAGGCAAGACACAGTGACTATCGGGGCTGGTGTGAGGGGTACATGCCTTTAGCCAAGGCTCAGATTTTCAGATTCTTTGGTGATGGCCCAAAGCCTACGAAGTCAGGAAAGATATTTATGAATGAGTGGAATAGATTTTCCACTCCTGCCATTCGAGTATGCCTTAGCACATGCTCAAGTGGCCCGCTTGGCCTGGGGATACTGCAATGACCTTGCTCCCTTCCTTTTACACACGAGGCTGAAAATACTCCTAATTACTCATCCTCAGTCTTGTCCGATCCTTCAGTTGTTCACAGGATTATCAGGGCTACAGGATAAAGGTTTTGGAATCAGATAATCTGCGTATGATGAGTGCTCTGGGGAAGTTTTTCACTCGCTTCCTCTGTTCCAGCTGAGTTCTGAGTTTGCGGATCACAGCTTGCAGGGAAACATGCGGAACATTTGACTACCGAATCCTAATAGCCACTCCCACTCACGCGCGTGCACGTGTGTGTGTGTGTGTGTGTGTGTGTGTGTGTGTGTGTGTGTTAACCTTGTGCCCAATGAGTGGGTCTGAGCTTCTTGGGAACTGTTAAGTTAACTGCTTGCATTGTGAAATAAGGGCTTGAATATCAACAACATCCCACAGGGGAGTGACATGGGGCTGTTGACTAGAGGTCAGTCGTTAAGGATGTCTGAGCTCTCCAGCCCAGTCCTGGGGTGCTGGACTGCCTAAGCACTTGTGCTCAGAATGATGTCTCACAAGTGGCCAGTAGATGGTGCTCTAACAACAGAAAAGTAAGGCTTCTGTCTCTCTGAAGCTGAGAAAAGGGGTTTTCCAAAGGTTTTTAATTGGTTTTCAGAGTTTTGATCAGTTGCTGACTCTCCACACTTTCATTTATGCATCTTTAAGGGAACCATAGAATCGGGGGTGGGGGGGAACATGCTTACCAGATTTCCTTACAAGGCTCATGATGGCAATGATTGGATCATTCTCGATAGTCCCCTTTAGCATGGTGCCCAGAATATTTAGACATGGGTCAGATTCATGCTGAGGCTAGGGGGCAGAACCTTTCCATAGCTTAGCATCACTATTTCTTCTCTTGATTTTGTACAGTTTGTAATTAGGCAGCATGGTTACTAGAAACTGAAAAATCAGACCCATTAGACATTGCGCTCTGCCTCTGATCGGATCTGAACCAAGACTTTCATGTTTCTGCAGCTCTGCTGTTCTGTGGGCTAAATCGGCACCTTCATTTGTGTTCTTCCGGGCTGATCTGGGAGGTCTGCAGTGACAGCCAACAGTAGAGTCAATATAGTCAATTGATAACTATATCAATCACTTGTGTAAGTTAATCTTTAAAACTGTATCCACCTGGCGAGTTGCAAAGTGGGGGAGTAGAGAATATGAAGCCAGTATAGAAACCCAGAGGTCTTAAAGCTCTCAAAAGCTGTGACATCCAGGTTGGGTATAAAGAGAGAAGAATGTGCCTTCCTCCAGCTTTGAGGCCCTTAAGCCAAGCCTCCTTCCAAAATATTGATGCCTAGTTTTCCCTAGGCATCAATGTTTTCCCTAGTCCTCTTGGACTGCTTCTCTGAGAATCTTCCTCATTTCCCCTATGAAGCCATTCTTGCTTCCTAGTGAACTCTGCCTAGATGTTTGTAAAGCCTGCTTTTTGGGAATGCGGGAAGACTGGGTTTAGTTTCACCAGGTCCCAGCACTGCCGTGTATATAGTCTTGCATATTCTAGGCCTCTAAAGGATTGCAGCAATCACACAAAACTCAGGATGTGGTAGAAAGAGGAAACACTCAGTTCTAGGTCTCTGCTCAGTGGGTAAAGTGCCAAGTCAGGGGTCCTTCATCTTTCTCTGAAACACTTCTGGCCAGTATGTCCTGTTTAACAAATAGACATGATTGCATGGCCAGGAAGGAAGGAAAGGTGTGATGTGTCAGCATGAAAGTGAGATTTAGAGCAGAGCCAGCGAAGTTCCACAGTCTCATTTAGGTTATGAAAGATACATCATTTATGTCATCATCCATATGGCTCATTATTGAATCCCCAATGTCTAAAATAGTGTCTGTTGTGGGGAATATATGCGAAAATATTTGTTAAATGAATGATGTGTATGGCTTCTGTGCTACGAATTATGAATCTTCTGGAAGTCAGATGTTTTAGTCCCGTGAAGTTTAGAGAGGTCTGAGACAGCCACTTGGTCTAGTGAGGCTTCATGGCCAACCGCCTTCACTTCTGTCTCCTATTAAGCTCATCAGTGAAGTGAGATCACAAAAGCAGGTGGAGCTGACACACCTCCTACAGCGATTTGGTCTCAAATGGGCTCCGCTGAATCCCAAGGTCAACATGATGTTCCTAAGGGTATCGGTACCTGCAATCGGTGCCTGTGCTGAGGCCATTTTTTTTTTTTTTGGACTTCCTGCCTTTTCCATCACAAGCATGGACACACTCAACATTCTCAGACAATAGACACGTGCCAGTGCTCACATGGCCTTGCCCACACAGACACACGTAAGCAGGAATACACATGCCTCACACCCAGACATCACTTCCCTTCTCATCAGTTAATGTCACATGTCATGCCCATGACACCACACCCACCCACGACTTCCAGCATCGGGGATTTCTGTCATCCTTTGCTCCTTGCCCTCATACCTTTCATTACCCACTTAGGGAGGATACGGCCACAACTATGTGTTGAAACTAAAGGCGAGGAGAAATCAAGGAAGGAACGCTCCAGCCAGCGTCACTAGTGTAGTGACGGGAAGGGACAGGGATAAATGGTCCATGGAGTCTCCTGTAGGCAAGGACTGGGTTGCTAATCACAGAGCTTCTTTCCCTGGGGTTTGAAGCCTGACCTCCCTACCTCTACAGCTCAGACACTCATTCTTTGCTTTGCCTTGCTTTTTCTGAATGAAGTAGGTTTGAGAAAGTCAATGGACCTTATATGAAAGTAAAAGGTGGTAGTGGGTGGGAGAACCCCTTTATTAGGGTTTTGAGGGCAGTTTGCTCAGGCTCACCAACTAGGGACTGGACTCTCTGGGCCATCTGCCAGGAGGTAAGGCACAGGCTTATGCTAGACTCCAAGCTAGAAGGCTGCCTTGTAAGGACCCTTAGGAAAATAGGAAGGTCAGAACACCCCAGAGAAGCAGAGGACACTTCTCTGTGAGGCCTACAGGCTGTTAAGTGTTGGTTTGGGAAGAGGGTGCTACCTTTGCCCCCGGGATCCCCGCGGGTGGTAGGTGGTAGTGAAGCCAAGGTCCTCGGAGGGGTATACAAGGCCCCTACCCTCCACTAGAGCAGCAGCAAGCAGGACACTACGCAGGACATTGAAAGAGCCACTTTATTGGGTGCCCTTCTGTGCTAGGGTAAGGAGAGCCTTCCTGGACAGGTCCTTGATCTGTTGCAGTTTCCGCCCGGCACCACCAGCCGCAGCCGGCTTTTGCATCACTTGGTGTTAGGAAAGGGGAAGCGACTTTTCCTTGGACCCATGTGTAGGTAGATATTGGCCAAATGAATCCGTAAGCCAAACCAGCCTCACCACGCAGGACTCTCAGAGCCCCGCCCCCGCGTCCCTCTCGGATCCTTGGCCACCTTGCTGCGCTGCTGCCTCTGCTGCTGCTGCTGCTGCGCTGTGCTCCTCACCCTGCCCTTAAGCATCCCAGGAGCCAAGCAGGCCGGGAGGAGGGAGAGCTGGTCTTTAGTGAGGAAGTTCAGTTCATAGATAAGCCTTATGCCCTGCCGGCGCTAGCTAGGCTGACTGCAACCTGTTCCTCGCTGCGAGTGTTCGCCGCCCGCCCGCGGCTCGCTCGCTAGCTCGCTCTCCCACCCTCTCCCCGGCGCAGCCGCGGATCGCTGTTGCATGCTGATCCTGGGAGGCGGCGGCGGCGGCGAGCGCTCTGGGCGGATGCTGGCACTTGGGCTTCGCTGCTCCCTGATTGCTGCTCAACTTCTACCCCAAACGCAGGAGCTGTGAAGTCATCTGCCCCTCTCCGGCTGGATCGACTTCTTATCTTCATCTTTCGGGCGTTGCGGTTTACGCAGGAACCTCAATACCGCTCCCCCCTCTCCATCCCCCTCTCTCCAACCTTTGGATGCGTCTCTGCTGGCAGATTTAAAGAGCCAAGTCTTGGCTGTGGAATTTCTTAGATGGACTCGCAGGGGCTGGCGTTCTGAAGCATGTCACCGTAGCTGGCCCTCGCCGCCGCCGTCGTCGTCTTCTTCTTTTTCTTTTCGTTTTTCTTTCAAAGTTCTTTTGTTTCCATTTCCTCCTCCTTCTCTACCCCTCACCCCAGCCAATAAATCAGCAAACTGTTACCTAGCTGGCCGCTGCCTGCCTTTCTCTGAAGCAGGTGGTGCGTGTGCCAGAAGAGGAGCTATCTTGTGGAGCAGCCTGCTCCACCCCTCTCCGGTCCCTGAACACCACCCCACACTGGCATTTTGGGGGAAATATTGGCTCTAGAAGCTGAGCACCCCCAAGCCCTACCCCCTTCTTCTTCTTCTTTTTTTCCCTTGAGAAATGGAGCTTCGCGGAGGTTGCCTTTAGATTCAACAGTTCAGAGCAGGGCTGAAGAGCCTGCAGGGGTCCCCCAAGGCGGAGGTCCCTTGCGCCTGTGTGGATAAGGCTCCGAGTCTGGCTGTGTCTTTTCTGCCCCTTGTTGTGTGCGGGTGTTCGGCGATCACCTTTGTGTGTCTTCTGTCTGTTTAAACTTCAGGATGGCTCGCTTCGGGGAGGCGGTGGTCGTTGGCAGGCCGGGCTCAGGCGATGGAGACTCGGACCAGAGCAGGAACCGGCAAGGAACCCCCATCCCGGCCTCGGGGCCGGCGGCCGCCTACAAGCAGTCGAAAGCACAGAGGGCGCGGACTATGGCTTTGTACAATCCCATTCCTGTCCGGCAGAACTGTTTCACCGTCAACAGATCCCTGTTCATCTTCGGAGAAGATAACATTGTCAGGAAATACGCCAAGAAGCTCATCGACTGGCCATATCCTTTCTTGCCCACTATGACTTCCCTCTCCCCCTTTGGCATTGCTACGGGTGAGGGGAAACACCTAGAATGGAATTTATCCCCCACCCTTTCCCGGTGCCAAAACCTGCCCCTTTGCTCAAGTGCACCCTACTTCGTTGCATCCAAGGGGGCAAGCCTGGTGCCCTGGAGACCTATTTGGGCACCAGTGTTTTTCAAGGTAAGACTTTTGGTTTGGGGTTTACTTTCCCCGTGGAAATCTCTACTGTACCTAGGTGCCTGGTGCAGAGGTACCTGCCTCTTTCTAGGTTGGGCTTTGTCTGTCTCTCGGCCACCCACCAACGTTCTGAGCCTTTCAGAAACTGCGTTCCAGGTGGACTGGCTTACCTCTAACCTCAGAGCTTTCTTTTGTAATCAGTTCCTGCACTTAAGCCAGTCCCTCTGCCCCCATCCCCACCAGCTGGGAAGACACTTGCACCGTCTGCCAGCTGAGAAGTGAGGCTCTGCGAGGGCATTTATCAGTCCAGGGGCTCCAAGGAGTAGGAGCCAAACCCATGTATACAAGTAGACAAATGAATACTTATAAAACAGGCTTTGGGCCAGGAACTCAGCTAACTCTGGCGACCAAGTTGAAGTTCTACTGAAAGTCAGTGGCTCTCAGGGGAGGCGATTAGGTCACCACCAGCCCAAATGGCTCAAAGTTGGAGTTCTCTTTTCAGGCAAGGAGGTGTGTTTACCCTTCCTTGGCCCTGGGTTGCTGCTCTTGCTTAAGGTTTGGCATGCATGGTTGCTCTCTCTGTATCCTGGACCAAATAGAGTTCCTGGGCCTGGAGTCACCAGTTGAGGGTTAGCGGTGTGCAAACGGTCGATCTTTAAAGCCAAGGGTATTGCTCTTCACAAAGGGCGGGTAGGTCTTCTCTGGAGGTGGTGGGTTCAGGGGCATAGGCCGTGGAGAGAGCTTCTTTGCAGGTTTACCAAGTGCACCAAATGCAGCCTGCTGATTAGGCAGCTTAATGCCTGCTCCGCACTAAGAATTTTCATCTGTGACAAGGCCATTAGGACTTGAGGGTGGCAGGGTGTTTCAGGGGATTATAGGAGGCAAGCCAGTGATTCAGGGCTAGAATTGGGGGGCTGGCTTGGGGACAGGGACTTCAATGCTCCTGGAGATCTAATTCTTGGGAAGAATACACCTGCAAAAGAAGCTCCTCCTCTTTTTCCCATGCTCCCTCCTCCCCAACCCTCCATTCAGGTGTGCAGCCGTGAGACAGCTGAGGCTGGGGGGGGGGGCTCAAGTATTAGTCTGCAAGGCCCCCGGCTTCTCCCCGCGCCTGGGCATCCCCCCGCAAACCCCCCCCCCCCCCCCCACACACACAGTTTTTGGTCTTTCTTTTTTTTTTGTTCTTCCCCAGTTTCCTGCTTCAGCCGCTTCTGGATTGGCTGGCGCATGGTGCTCCTAGGCAGCACCTCATTAGAAATGAAGGAGCATCTCTCAGCAGCGTCGCTTCCTGCTGCTGTTCGCATCCGCATCCTCCCACGGCCACCCCCTGGCTGGGTCTCTCCCTCTCTGCTCTTAGTTCTCCAGTTCTCACCTCCCCCTCCCACCCCCACAAAATGATCCAGGCCATAGTGTGCTTGGGTTGAACTATCTAGATGGGGGATTTGGGGCGGGGGAGGGGTCTGGCCCCTGTAGTCATGCCTGTCAGTGAGCTGCACAAAGCGGATTGCATTGTGTTGCATGCTGCAGCTGCAAATAACTCCTCTGAGCAGTACTCTACTGCTCTCCCAGTGAAGGTCCCTCCCTCACCCGCCTTCTACAGTTCTTTTAGATTTCCCACCCACCAGGTGCCGCTTTGCTGTGACCCTCTTAGGACATCCCCCCACCCCGCTCCTCGACCCCCTCCTTCCATTTGCTTGCAGTAGACAAAGCAGCCTTTCTGTCCCGCGAAGAGCAAAGTGTGGCAGTAGCCATCCTTGGCACCTCGGACAGCGCCACCAAAACTCCCTTGCTGCTTTAGGGCTCCCTCGTCACCTGGTGCAGTACATCGGGTACTTCCGGCTGGGCTCAAGCTCCCGGGCTTGGGACGTGGAGCACGTTGCCCTTGCCTCTTTTTTCACGTTTTCTCTTCCGCTGCAAAGACACAGGGTTTCCTCTAGGCATTGTGAGACCAAGGTGCTGCTGGGTTCTATGTCTCCCCTTTGGCCAAAACGGACTAAGGAGAGTCAAAGGAAAGCCTCGGAAGGGAATGGATTCCACCGGCATGCTCAGTGCCTTGGCCACAAGTCCCGTCCCAGTCCCTTGGCTCTCTTCGTACTTAGACATTTTACAGCGGTTCTACAGCCTTTAGGCTGTTGTAACCTGTTCAGAGAACATGGCTAAGATGTTGAGGGGAAGCTGGATGGGTTTTCCTCCCCTTGGGGTTGTACAGTGTAACTGACTAATGTATTCCCTCCGGCGGTGACCACGTGGAAGCATTGCGCCTCTGTGGGCTCTGCCTCTTCTCCCAAGCTGCGTCTAAGCTAGTCTCACCTTCCCTGCAGTTCTCAACATCCAGTTTCCCCAAGTATCTGCTTCATCTTGTTGACTGTCAGTGTGAGCAGCAGTTACCCTTAAAGCTCTCTAATTGGGCTGCCTGGGTTCAAATCCCAGCTCCTCCTGAAGCCCCATGACCTTGAAAAGTTAGTTGTTACTCTGTGACTCAAATTTCCTTACCTGTAAAATCAGGGTAATAATAAAGAGTTACTGAGAGAGTGGAATGAATTGATGTGTCAAGTGTCTGGAACATTATCTAATGACCCAATAAGCACCCATTATTGTTAATGGACTCCTTTGGGGGGTTTCTGCACACCTGCAAGATGGGACTCTTAGTTCAAGGTGAAGTCCTTTAGATTCTTGTATCTCATTGAGAACCAGGAGCCTCTTCTGTATCACTTGAGAGCTTGTTCAAAATCCCGACTCCCGAGTCCTCCTTCACAGCTGCTAAATCAGAGCCCCACAGGGTCCGCATGTCAGTAACTGACTGTATTCCTGGTGGTGGTAGTGACCAGGTTAGAAATGGTTTTGTTCTTTGTAGGGACCGTATTTTCACACCAGAAAAATCGTTAGGAAACGTTGTTGAGACCTGCTTTGGTATTGCCGTACAGTCACGCATGTAGATTTTGATTGCTCTGCACTACACTTTTATTTTGTACACTTTGGACTCTATACTTTATTTTTTCTCTTTTTGGTGACAGAAGGTCAGGGAGGAGCTAGAAGAATAAGGTGCTTTTCTCATGTGTCAGGCTTTTTAATTTTATTGATCTGAAAGGATGAGCTAAGTAAAAGGTACGATTTAATTTGTGCTTATAGGACCCACTGACTTAGGAGAGCCTGATCTTGCTCTTCATAGGGGTTGTCTAGTTCTAATCTGAAGGAAAATGTCTCTACAATAGCCCACATTTGGCATGAAAGATGGTGGAAAGGCAACAGCCCACTCTGAATGCATTTCCTTTTTTCTTAGAAGCTACATCTGCATAGGGAGATAATTTTATTTTCTCATGACACTCTCTTCTGCAGACGATACCATAGCCTTTTTGAAAATGCTAATCTGATTTTAAATGTGATATCACATTTTATGGCATTCTTTTCTTTCTTGCTTGCTCATCTAATAGATCTTACAAGTGTTCTTTTTTTAGCCTCTCCCCCCCCCCCCCAGGCATCGGCTATTCTGAAAGCTACTTGCTGGTCCCTCTGCTCCACATGACCATTCTGAATGTTCTTTGCTCAGGGACGGTTCTGTGGGTAGGCACTTGGGATATCTCACATAGTTTGTGAGATAGCCCACCATTGGTTTGCACTTTTCCAGGTCAGGAGTGAAGGGAGGAGATGGCGCATCTGACTATCTGACTTAGAGACTCTTTATTATAGATGGGCAGTAGGAGAGTGTCGTCCCCCCCCCCCCCCCGGCCGCTTCACCCATTTGGTCATCTCGGTAGAGAAGTGCATTTTATGTGGAAATGAACAGGTCAGAGTAGGAAGATCAAATGAGTTTACTGCCTTTGAGCTGATGAAGCTCATTATGGTGAACCCGTGGTTGTGCATGTGTGGTTTCTTGTGGAGAATTTCGGTGTCTCCTCAGAACACTCTGGATATGGGTATGAGACTATGTATGTATATCACAGCTTTCTCCCTGTAAATTGTTCGGTGAATCGTAAATTTATTTGGAGGATTTTGCCGAGGATTACGGAAAGTGTAAGCTCTCAAATCTCCTGTTTTGGCATATACTCTTCTCTGGTTGCCTCTAAATAGACATGCCTTGCAAGATAGTAAACTGCAGGCCTGATAAGAAATTCAAGTTTGATGTAACTCCAGTGGATACTGAGTCTTGACTGGGGAGAGAGTGGGAATGGACGCGGATGAAATCTGTAATTCTATCCTGTGGTCAGAGGATGTAGGGCCCTCACGCTTTTCCACTGACCATAGATGTCATGGCTATAGTTGGTACAAGGGTTGCAGGATAGAGATCTTTGTTTTCTGGTGTTCCTAGGAGAGCCTATATGTTTTGTTTGGTTTTTTTATATGAGGTGGGGGTTATGTGTCTTCTGGAAGCCTGACCATGATAGTAAGGACCTTTTGCAAGTGGGATACATCCTGGGAAGTGAGTTGGAGTGAAAGAATTTGACAGGAATGAAATGACTTAAGGATGAAGAAGAAAATGTCTTGGATGTGACCGTTTACTCTGAAGTTGCCTTCCTTTCAATAGGTGTAGCACACAGTATGAATTAAAGGAGGAGGAGGAAAATACTAAGTACAGGCCTTTTTTCCTCCTAAAAGATCCAGACTGGAATTAGTGGCTTCATCTAACACTGCTTAGCTCTGTCTAGCCATTACTGTATGAGATATGGGTGCCTCTTACTGGAGTCTTTTCTTCCCTCTTTATAGGAACATCTGTTTGTTTGTTTGTTTCTTCAGACTTTGTACTCTTACTTGAAACAAAAATGAATCAAGATTTGCTAAGCTATTAGAACTCTTGCAGACCCTT